TCCCCTTAGGACCCATCGGAGCCCAGACGTCGAGAATGTCAAGCGACCACTGGCAATTTCTCAGCAAGAAGCTTCCGGTGTTCAACCCGATCCAGTTCTTCTGATCGTACACCATCTCGTTCCAGCCGTGCATAACGAAGTTGTGGTCCTTGTAGCGTTCCCAGGGGACCTCAAACGCCATGTCGGTGAACATGGCGTCGCTGTCCATCCACCATAGAAACTCCACTTCCGGATGGGAAAGCAGGAGCTTTCGGATCAATGGAAGCTTGGCCCAAAACCCGGCCATTTCCGCGTCTAGAAGCGCGAAGTTGTAGAAGATCTCAATCCCGTGGATCCTACAGTAGTCGATTTTGTTCTTGATCGATTTCAAGAGGTAGTGATCGCCGACCGGGTTTTCACACGGTTTGGGCGACGACCCGGTTACCAGCAACACCCGGGGCTTATTGGGTCCGAGAAAGTTGGGGAAACTCGGGTTCTTTTTCAACCAATCTGATCTCTGCTCGTCCCAATCGGATATTTTTGGCCCAAGACTGTACGGAGTGTTCGGGTCCCGCTTTTCGTCGTCGGATCCTGGTTCGTCGACGAGGATTTTGGATATGTCGAAGGTGGCGTAGTTGTTGGACTGGGCTGGGTCGGCTTCCTTTTGGTCGGGTTGGGTGGTGGCTTCTTGGAGGACCCGGTGAGGCTCCACGCGCCGGTTGTGCGAGTAGAAGTGCTCGCGGATTTCGTTGAAGTCTTGTTCCGGGGTTCCGAATTTGCCGGCGCCGATTGTGCCGCGCAGGACGACGACGGTTAAGAATAGACAGAGAAACGTCGTCGTTCCGTGGCGGAGCATCCTCTGGACTTGGTGTGCCCGGCGAGGCCCTAAGCACCGCTCCAGCATTCTGAGTCGGCTGAGTTGAACCGGAGGGAAGTGGAGTGTGAGGTCGTGTTCAGGATGAGGCTGTGGAGCACAATGCTTTGAATTGTATTTGGTTTGGCTAGGGTGGTAAATATGGTGAGGTTTGTGGGTGTTTATGGAGGAGATGAGGTTTAGAGAAGTGAGAATGGGAAGCGTCGGTGGAGCTGAAGAAAAAAGAGATTAGAAATGTGTTGGGCTTCCTACAAGTTTCTTATTTTTAACAAAATTATTTTATTAAATTAAAATTTTAAGTTCTTCTCGCACGTCATCACGTTGGAGGGAATAGATCCTCGGTGGTCGAATCCAGTACGTAGACTCGTGGATCCCGCGGCCTCAACCTTAATTGCCAGAAAGTCTGTTTTATGTCAATCCCGCCAATTTTTCATTTACAGTATCTATTTATATAATCTTCAAAAAATATATGTTAAATACAATAACTACTATATATAACACCAAAAGTGCAATAAATTTCTCAAAGTCTAAAATAGCAATTTATCAAAAAAAGTTGCCATAAAAGAATTTACCAAAAACGTAAGCATCGTAAGTTTTAGGTAATCACTGAAAAAAAAGTTGAAGGTAATGAAAATTCATGTCAATTTTAAGGAATAAATGTATTGTCCTTCAGATTAGTTAAATGAATTAGCATATTTAGTACATATGTTCTAAAATTAGTTGCCTTTTTTTTTATTTAAAAAAATTAGGAGGAGATTGGCAACTCTCACCACCAACGCCAGGGCAGATTCACAACCTCGAGTTGGAAGGACTTATACATGGCATCCAATTACCAACTGCCACCGGTATGAATTTATGTAGAAAATTACAGATCGCGCACTAACGATGACTATTGGCAGTGGGACTCGAACACTAATGGGGCTACACACAATAATTTTTTTTATAATAAAAAAATGCTTCCTTTCTTGACTTAAAAAAAATGATTTTATTTGGAAACTATTATTGACATTCTAAAGAAGTTCTATTACACTCAACTCTCGTGCTTTTACAAGATGATGTTTTTGAAGTGTAAATAATGAGTCTCTATTTTCAACAAACAATATGATATTTACACAAGTATTTACACATAGGGAAAATTCGAACGTTAAAGTCTCATAATTTTAGCTAGAGAAGTGTTAGAGTCGAGTGAATAAGTGAAAATCTCTATACGAAAATGAGAGGAAAACAAACAAGTAAAAGGAATTGAACCCTCTTTCGAGCATATAAAAGCTTTCAATCGTAGTAGTGAGATCACGACATGAAAAGGAACAACCAAAGCATATGCAATCCAACTCCAAGTGAAGAAAAACCAAAGCATGTGTAACGTGTTGGGTGGGGGCACTTGACGCGAGCTGCATATGAGATAGACATAGATGGAGATAGATTTGATGGTTTGCATATTTATTCAAAATCACATGCATCTGTCCGCGTTCGTGCGTGACGTTTTATATAAGTTAGCAACAGCTAATATGCATCAATTTTAGCTGCTACGAGTTAACAGCTAATAATAATATGATTTTTTTTCATGTGATTTGAGAAAAGAACGGGCCAGCAGACGCCGATTTGGAACCAAGACAAAAGGACAGAGTTTGACCGTCCGCAGCATATAGCTACACGTGGCAAACATTACGCGGCTCCAGTCACTTTCTAGTATCTTCACCTTAGATTATTAAATTATAATCGAAGCTTCTTATTGCTACTTAATTAACTTATTATTTGATCAACTTAGTGCAAGTTGGCACATAATTATTCAAATCAATCGAGTACTAATAATTTATTTTTTTTATTTTTTTGGATTTTTTTGGGCGTCAAATTTAGGTAAGATGTCCTAAAAAAAATTAACAACGCACCATCATTTGTCAAGTGAAAAAGTCGAACATGATTAAAAAATTATTTATGTAACATATGTGGTTAAATAATAGTTACATTCTTTTTTCTAAGACTAAATGGTATTGCATTTCATTAAGATAGCTAAAGACGTCACATTAACTCATCATATAATGTGATAATCAATTTGTATTTATTATGAATTATGATCAATAGTTAATTAATACATCAACTGTCATATATATATATATATTGATTAGTTATAATTAGAGTTAGGCTCGATTTGATTTGGTTCAGTTTCGAGCCCAAACCCACTACCGAATCGAAGCCCTTGGTTCTTTGAAATTTGGAACCGAAAACGAATCATGAGGTGTAAGAACCAACGAACCAAGTTAGTCAATCGAACACGGTGGTTTGCTTCAGTTCAATGCACCGAACTTGTGGGTTTTGGGCTAAATTCAAAACTAGCCCAAATTTCATACCAAACATACGTTTAAGTCTAAAATATGATTGACAATTCAAATACAAAATTCATAGCATTCTTATTCCCACATTCGACCACTCTGAACTAGAATCATAAATCTAGTCAGATTATACACCGATTTAAAAGAAGAAGAAGAAAATTTCATCAAATTGAACCACTAGTTTAGTTTGGCCGGTTCGACTATTTTCGCTCTAAATGCCAACTCTAGTTATAATGTTTTATACAAATATAAAAAGTTTGCGACATACAAGTAGATGTGTGCCAACCACGATCGTCTACAGCACCTAATACCTTCTAATAATATTTGTCCAAAATTAATCATACATTGATAATTCCATGAAAATACAAAGTCAAAAGTCTGCATACATGTTTTAACTTAAAAACCTAAATTATAATAATAAATGTGAAAGATAAGTTGTATATAGCACGCTTATAGACAAGATTTCTTCCTCAGGGTGATTGCTAGTTTGATTTCATCTCATGCCTCTCTAGTGCTAAAACCTAACCATAAATTTAAATTGTGTGGCATACAATCAAAATCCAAGACAGAGAAGCTTACAATTAACAATGGCAAGATAAGCCACCCATGCCAAACAAGGTTTTACAAGATCCATAGCAAATGGATTCACGCATCGAAAACACTTATAGCAGGCAAACAGAGCTCCAAAATTCATCAAGCAAATGACCAATCCAAGCCAAGCTGCCCCAGATGCAAGCACAACAGGACCCCACAAAATGCTCAATGAAACTTGGGCAATGTAGAGGACAAATGCATTGGATTGGGCATGAAATCCACCTTCAGCCCAAACAAGCCAAGCCGAGAGACCCATGAGGAAGGACGAGAAGAATGTGGCAAAGTTTATGAGCCAGAGAGGAGGGAGCCAAAAGGGTTTGGTTAGGGTCCGGTACTTGGGGCCCGAGCCGAAGAAGAAAATTGCGGTTGTGGTCAAGGTGAGAGGAATTGCAATGCCTATGGCTAGGGACCTTAGAGCTCTCTTGGCCTTTTCTTGTTTGGTCAAGGTCGTGGCGGTGGTCGTGGTGGTGAGTTTGGTGGAAATGGGTTGGTCATTGTTGAGCCGGTGATGGAGGGTGTTGGAAGCCATGGCAAGAAAATTGTGGAGGGAGAGGTGGAGTTCATGACAAAAATATTAGTGGGAGATGTTATAGGACAAAAATGAACGTTATGGAGCAAATTTAGGGGTTTCTTAGAATGTGAATGATTCTATTTTTCATAAAAAGAAAAAACAATTGAGAAACTAACACAAGCAAATTTACCCAAAAATAAAACACACAACACAATATACTCGTCCTTAACAAACTACTACTATACCAAGTTTAAAAGGAAAATGTTAGGCCCATTGTATTGGTGAGCTCCGCCCCTATTAGAGAAGTAGTACATAATGTGGTATAAAAATGTGGTATGTTTAGCATTACCGAGTTTAAAATGCCAAAATTGCAATATAATTAATAGAACATATTCAAGTTCGAGTCACCCTCCGCGTGAGTTAGATTAACTTGAAATTACAAAAAAAATATATGATCACAATTGAAAAAATATATATATATATTAACCAATTTTACACAGGTCAAGAGGAACCCAAGATTTGGGTCAAAATAAAAAGTATGATATTTGTTTTAGTCCAAAAAAGAAGTGATTTTCAAGCATATGAAAATATGGTAATAGACCCTTCAACACCAAAAAGAAAAAAGAAAAAGAAAGAAAAACTAATAATAATAGTAAAAATAGGTCCCAATAATAATTCGCCCAACAAGCAAATAGGGACAAACTGGTAATTGTGTATCTTTGCAACGCTTTACACCATTCCCTTCCTCTTTACAACCAAATACTGAAGCAACACCTTTCTCCGCTCTGTACTGACTGCACTGCGTGACCGATAGTCTCCAAAACCTTCCCAGCAGAGGCTTCGAACATGGTAATTTCCCTTTTTCACTCATGAAACTTTATCCCAGGAATTGTTTAGTTTTCACTGATATTGATCATATGTAGATTGAACCCCTTAGGGTTTTGAAATCTCGCTCTCTTTCATCAGAAAATGCGTTGCATTAGCGTCCGATCTGTTATTTCAATAAGCTTATGTTGTTGTACTGCTTTGAAACTTTGACTTCCATCGCTTTTGTGAGTGATTTTCACTTCGTGTTCAGATTTCTGTTTGGTTACTGAGAAAATTGGAGAAAATAAGTGAACATAGTATATACTAATATAGTTGCATTTTTCTGAAACTTTTAATTTGACAGTCCATGTTGTATAGCAAGTCCGTTCCTAGAAGGAGTGTCTGGGAAGTAGTAGTGGTGCTATTGTTTCTGATTATTTTTAGCCTGTTGATGGACTTGGGGAGTTACAATTCCTCCTCTCTTTTTTCTTCCCTCTTTTGTAATGCACCAATGCGTACATCATTTTCTCTAGTATGTTCATAGCTGTATGTAATGGAATTGGAGTACTTTCATCTTCCCTCTAACAGTTCATCAAACATCAAGTTGGCATATGTTTATGGTGTGCTATTATATTGCTGCATTAGAACAATCTCGTAGTGCTTAGTTTTAGGAACCTAATAGGTCTTCTGGCTGGAATATTTAGGGTTTGTGTTAATCTCATTAGCTTGTCGGATTTGCACTCAATTGTAATTGCATGAATACTTGTAAAATGGTGGAAAAAGTAATGAGAGAAACTTGGTAGTTTCTTGAATACATTTCTTCGACTACTTTAAGAAGGGGAACCTGGTAAAGGCTGGATGAACTAGAAGGGTGTGAAATCCGTGATGATCATCCTGAAAAAGTTAATACCGATTTCACCAACTTATGTACAATGCATATATGTGTATGGGGAAACTAATGCATGTTTTTTATGGAAACTTGACATGTAATGTAAGGACTGGAAAACTGTGAAGCAAGTACTTGACCATGTTTTGATTAAAAACAATCATATATGTATGACAGTATTTGTGGGAGTTTCAATACACGAATGTTGTATGCTTGTTGGTTGATGGAGTTTTTTGAACATGTGTCTTTGGTATTTTTGGAATACACACTGGTGGAGTTAGGCTTATCTTCCTTTTGTTACATTAGAAGTCAAGGGCACATTCATAACTTGTCGGATGAACGATGAATAATATTACATAACATGAACTGAGTGCTTGGGACAAGACATAGGCTAGTTTCTTCTTCTTTTTTTAAAATCAATAACATAACATGTCAGTGACATATCCAGAGATTTCCCTGGAGATGTCTTCTTAAGGTAGGTAGTGGGGCAAGGGTTGGCTACAAGCTAGAGCCCAAATTGTGCAGGCCTTTGTTGCCTTTGGGGGTCCAAAAAGAAGTCAGTTAAACTACACCCCCTTCACATTATCAACTGAGAATGGTTTCTTTCTGTTAACTTTCCTTTCATATGAACTGACTATATATTTAGCCTAATTCAGCACCGTTGCATGTACTGATAGTGATACTGTTGATGACATTTTGGTGAAGTATCTCATCATTTTTTTGGCAGGATGGACATGACGCAGATGACCCGAAACAGAGCACTGCTGATATGACAGCTTTTGTGAGTTCCAGTTCAACTATCTTTCTTATTTTGTTCATTATAAATTAATTGTACTACTTCTACATGGGCATGTGGATGAGTGTTATGCATGTAAAGATTAATGACTGTGTGGCCCTATTTGTGTCTAGTAGTCTGGAGAAAACAATTTTATATATAACCATGTTGGGCAATGAAACCGTTCAAAATGAGGGTGAAAAAATATTTAGAACTGAACGATGAAGAGGTTATCAATTAGTTAATGTTGATGAATTCGTTGGTTTGCCACTATTCCCAAATGTAGGTATTTTATTGGTTAATCAATCATTGGCGTTTACTTTATTTTACAACCAAATACTGAAGCAACACCTTTCTCCGCTCTGTACTGACTGCACTGCGTGACCGATAGTCTCCAAAACCTTCCCAGCAGAGGCTTCGAACATGGTAATTTCCCTTTTTCACTCATGAAACTTTATCCCAGGAATTGTTTAGTTTTCACTGATATTGATCATATGTAGATTGAACCCCTTAGGGTTTTGAAATCTCGCTCTCTTTCATCAGAAAATGCGTTGCATTAGCGTCCGATCTGTTATTTCAATAAGCTTATGTTGTTGTACTGCTTTGAAACTTTGACTTCCATCGCTTTTGTGAGTGATTTTCGCTTCGTGTTCAGATTTCTGTTTGGTTACTGAGAAAATTGGAGAAAATAAGTGAACATAATATATACTAATATAGTTGCATTTTTCTGAAACTTTTAATTTGACAGTCCATGTTGTATAGCAAGTCCGTTCCTAGAAGGAGTGTCTGGGAAGTAGTAGTGGTGCTATTGTTTCTGATTATTTTTAGCCTGTTGATGGACTTGGGGAGTTACAATTCCTCCTCTCTTTTTTCTTCCCTCTTTTGTAATGCACCAATGCGTACTTCATTTTCTCTAGTATGTTCATAGCTGTATGTAATGGAATTGGAGTTCTTTCATCTTCCCTCTAACAGTTCATCAAACATCAAGTTGGCATATGTTTATGGTGTGCTATTATATTGCTGCATTAGAACAATCTCGTAGTGCTTAGTTTTAGGAACCTAATAGGTCTTCTGGCTGGAATATTTAGGGTTTGTGTTAATCTCATTAGCTTGTCGGATTTGCACTCAATTGTAATTGCATGAATACTTGTAAAATGGTGGAAAAAGTAATGAGAGAAACTTGGTAGTTTCTTGAATACATTTCTTCGACTACTTTAAGAAGGGGAACCTGGTAAAGGCTGGATGAACTAGAAGGGTGTGAAATACGTGATGATCATCCTGAAAAAGTCAATACCGATTTCACCAACTTATGTACAATGCATATATGTGTATGGGGAAACTAATGCATGTTTTTTATGGAAACTTGACATGTAATGTAAGGACTGGAAAACTGTGAAGCAAGTACTTGACCATGTTTTGATTAAAAACAATCATATATGTATGACAGTATTTGTGGGAGTTTCAATACACGAATGTTGTATGCTTGTTGGTTGATGGAGTTTTTTGAACATGTGTCTTTGGTATTTTTGGAATACACACTGGTGGAGTTAGGCTTATCTTCCTTTTGTTACATTAGAAGTCAAGGGCACATTCATAACTTGTCGGATGAACGATGAATAATATTACATAACATGAACTGAGTGCTTGGGACAAGACATAGGCTAGTTTCTTCTTCTTTTTTTAAAATCAATAACATAACATGTCAGTGACATATCCAGAGATTTCCCTGGAGATGTCTTCTTAAGGTAGGTAGTGGGGCAAGGGTTGGCTACAAGCTAGAGCCCAAATTGTGCAGGCCTTTGTTGCCTTTGGGGGTCCAAAAAGAAGTCAGTTAAACTACACCCCCTTCACATTATCAACTGAGAATGGTTTCTTTCTGTTAACTTTCCTTTCATATGAACTGACTATATATTTAGCCTAATTCAGCACCGTTGCATGTACTGATAGTGATACTGTTGATGACATTTTGGTGAAGTATCTCATCATTTTTTTGGCAGGATGGACATGACGCAGATGACCCGAAACAGAGCACTGCTGATATGACAGCTTTTGTGAGTTCCAGTTCAACTATCTTTCTTATTTTGTTCATTATAAATTAATTGTACTACTTCTACATGGGCATGTGGATGAGTGTTATGCATGTAAAGATTAATGACTGTGTGGCCCTATTTGTGTCTAGTAGTCTGGAGAAAACAATTTTATATATAACCATGTTGGGCAATGAAACCGTTCAAAATGAGGGTGAAAAAATATTTAGAACTGAACGATGAAGAGGTTATCAATTAGTTAATGTTGATGAATTCGTTGGTTTGCCACTATTCCCAAATGTAGGTATTTTATTGGTTAATCAATCATTGGCGTTTACTTTATTCAGGGATATACTAGGTAGTTTGATTTAAATGTGTATGTGATAATTTGTCACTCCATTTGCCTTTGCTCAATCTCTGTTTTGGTTTTTGCAGGTACAAAATCTTCTTCAACAGATGGTGAGTTTGTTATGTGTTTGTGATGACTGACTCTGTTCAATGGATTGTATGGCTTATGTTTTTTAATTTTGCAGCAATCCAGGTTCCAGACAATGTCTGACTCCATCATCACAAAGAATATCCTTTGTTGTTTTGCTTGCCAATTACAAATTGATATACATATTTATTTTACATTAGTTTTATGACTTATCTTTAGCTAGTTTTATGATTACATATTAGAAAACAAATTTTTTGAATTGGCCCGTGCTAGCAGTTGTTCTTTCAGTAGTGAAGCATGTTCATTTGACATATGTTTTTTTTTTCTTTCTTTAATCACATTTGACTTATTCTATGTTGGAGATTTTGAATTTCTTTTCAAAGGGCTGCAATGGAGATAGATATGAAACTATTATTATTAGGTGTTGCTCAAATATAGAAACTTAATTGATCTCATTGATTTGAATTATGTTGTTACTTGTTTCCTTGACCACCATGATGCACTCGATGAGATGGGCAATAGGATCGATGAGTTGGAGCAGAGCATCAATGATCTCAGAACCGAGATGGGAGTCGAGGGCTCACCATCTCCTTCAGCCCCTTCGAAGTCAAATATCGAACCCAAGTCAGCTGATGATTCAACCAACGAGTAGCCACGGCATGGTGTGTTGCTTGAATCAAATAGTGTGTCTACTGCCCGGCTTTTGAGTGTTTATTTTTACTCTTTCATTTGAAATGGAAATCATACTATACACACTATCTTGGATCGGATCAATGCTCCATGGATTGGTAAAACAAGGCCAAGTTTTAATTCTCATTTTGTAACAGAAATGTAGGAAGCCCTTGATGGATTATCTGTCTTCAAATATGCTGAATTCCTGGTTCATTTTCAGAGATAGAATTGCTCTCCCCCATTCTTATTTTATAGCACATAATTCCGGGAAACCGAAATAAAATAATTTGCTAGGGGGGGAAAAAAAAAGCTTGCAAATTTGTGGCCGTCCAGAGCTATTGATTGTGGTCCTGTGATTGCAAATGTTGATTTTTATGATTCATAAGTTCATATGGGTGTGTTTATAGATGGCTAATACGACAAAGACATATGAGGTGTTGATTAGATTTGTCTCTCACAAAAGGCCTAAAAGATGCCCATAACATAATGGTGTGTGAGAGAGAGAGAGAGAGAGAGACCTCACACATTCACTCATTTCGACCGCCGACGAGTGCTTTACTGCATGTGGGGAGGAATTTGCTTTTAATTGTGGATGGCAATATAAGATTCCATAATTTCAAAACATCTTTTCATATTTTGAAAATGCCAATGAGAATGCGCTGGAATTGACCGTTGGCCAACAAGAAGTTCCATTTTTATTTTCTTTGTGCGCGTGCGTGTGTGTTTGGCTATTTCCATTGCTTTCAGAAAGAATGATACAACTACCATATGCATGATTCTTTTGAAAATAACAATTTTGATTTGAAACACGAAAGTGTTAGTTGCGCGTGAGCACGTGAAACTAGCACAATCGTGTACACGGTACAAATTAATAGTACGCGAATCTGAATTTGTAAATTAACAAAATAAACATTTACATATCAAATTGTTTGTTAAGAAACCTTTATCTCGATAACTAACAACATGAAATAAGTGAAGTATAATTTTTCTGATATGAACAAATAAAGCATTGAATTGATGCATTAATCGGCAGCATCTAAAGTAAAATTTATTTTGGTAAGGTTTGCCTTATTTTTCATAATAACGTTTTCGTGAAAATAAAAATTTGTTTAATAAATATCCAGCCAAAAGTGGCAATTTCTCATGATTTCAATCTCATAGCCGACACCCCCCAAAAATAGAAAAAGAAAAAAAACCATAGCCCAAACAAAAATCATCTACACCTACATCTACCTGTTGTTGTCCTTGTTTGCACTATAGCAAGACAGTTGTATACTGCAAGGATACAGATGCCTCAAATCAAAATCAAATCTCAGGCACTATAACTATTGGCTCATTGCCTCAAAAGCTCACAGCTAGCAAAGCACCTTTACAACCCAATAGCCAAGCCATCTAGTCAATATATGCCATCTAGTCTAGGTGAGCTATATATATATGTCTTAATTTCCTTTTACCATTCAATTCAATGCTGCCATGGTAAAAGTAATGTCTCCACAAGTACACAATCATTCTTAACACTAACATATATTATTAATATAGGTCTTGAACCAAATTTAATTATATCTTACTCTTCACTAAACAAGGAGAAGATCTAGCCAAATTGATCATTAATTAATTATTAACTTTAATGTTTAATAAGTATTCAAATTAAGAATTATATACATACGACACTAGCTAGCACTTGTCAATTGTTTATGGATTGTATCCAAGCAAAAGAAAGCTGCAAGCAAATAGCATAAAACAAGTAAAGGAGGAGAGATACAAACAGACAGTAACAATTAATACACAAAATTCTGTGGTATATATATGCATGGCATGGTACGTAGTATAATTGAATCAAGTACTCGGGGTGGGTGTAATAGTCAAGTGCGCATAATTATTCAGTGCAGCATGTAAACCCTATGACCAGTTGCACCCCGTTGGCGGAAAATGATGATTGGGACTGAAGGAACTGGATGGTTGTTTAGCAACACAAAACTTATGATGCACCCACCAACTTCATCATTCCATTTTAGTGATCATCGTGTATATAAATCAATGGATGTTACACAAACAAAAATCTCCGTAGTTTCTTCCATCTTAAATTGAGAAATGGCTTTTATTAGCAACTAAATTATCAAAATGACGCTTTCTCTTAGATTGCACACCTTGCTGTGCCGATCTTCGCCGTCGGAGGCCCCTCGAGACGCTGATGATGTTGGAGTGGTGCCACCAGCGAAGGCGGTTGCCGGCCTCTGCAGTGGCAGCCCTCTTGAGGTCTAGGAACGATGGGTCTTGATCTTCGTCGTCAGCAGCTGGGTTAGTGGCTCTGCTGCTGCCATTTCCAATTCTTGGTCAGTAGATTTGTAGGAATTTCAAAACATTTTTCCAAAGTTCATTTGAATATTAAACGTGCATTTAATCAAATTAATCGCAGCGGAAGTCTAAGGTGGTTGTTTAAATTCAAAACAAAACTTCTTCCAAGTATCTTAAGCCATGAACATTGATATGTTTTTCATAAATGAAAATTCAAGAGAAAGGATAAGATCTAATTACCCTTGAAGCAATTATATGAACCAAGTTGTGTTTTGGTCTTCTCTTGATGATTTTCCTTTGTTGATCTCCTCTTGATCTTTCTCCTCCTTGTGAGCCACAAAAGTATATGGCCTCTAAGTCTCCACACCGATGGAACCTTGAGATGAGAATAAGTATCTTGAGAATACTTGGATGCTAGTGCAAGATTCTCAAGATTGGTTTCAATCTAAACCACTTTTAAAGTTGAAAGTGTTTCACTCTTGAAAACTCTCTTTTTTTTCTCTCTTTGATCTCCCAAACCCATTTGGTTGATGTTGGATTGTGTTTGTGTGTGAATGAGCTTATGGAAACAATTCCCATACACATTCACTTAAGCATTTTCGGACAAACCCCATTGGGCTTCCAAAATTGGGCCTTATGACACTTAAACCATAATTTAGGTGTCTTAAGCCCTTGGGCTTGATACCCAACCATTTGGGCTTTCCGTTAACTATTACTTAGCCCAAATACGTTTTTACACGTAGTAGATCATCCACATCAAATCAATCAAATTGATTTCCTCATTCTCATTTGTATTACTCAAAGTTAACCATTTAAGGTGTGCGATCCATTAGGTTCTAATTAGCAAGGCAGTGGGAAAATATTAGAACTCTTTCTAACCAACTGGAATTAAAACCCCTTTTTAATTCTTCCTTTATTTGGATCAATCACAATCAATCCTAGGACTTCCACAAGCCAAGAGTGACATCTAGCAATATATCAAGGTTACCCAAGCTAACCAGAATAGATGAAAAACCTATTCAGTTGGAATTGCAATGCAATACGGTCCTTCTCTTATACAATGTTTCAAATCATATTATTAGGGTATGGATTGTTTATGTCAAACCCCTAATATGATTTATAACCTCATGTGATTCAAAAGAACATGATTAAGAACAACTTTCTAAATCAAGCTCAAAATACTTTGGCCAAAGATTTACTGAATCACATCTTGAAACATTCTCCTTCTTTATCGAAAGTAGAGATTCCTTATTGTACATTCACATGCCCCTATGATGAATTAAGAGATCCCAACAACACTTAAGACAAATCTTTTACGGCTTGCCTTTAAGAGCTATCAAAGATCAATAACGTATCACAGGACAACCATGATGCCTCAGGTCTAAGGACTAATTTGCATTATTGCAACTATGAGTTCTCATTTGACATGTAGATAAATACTCCACATGAGAACTACGGTTGATCGCGTTCAGTGTACTCATTCACTAATGAGCACCCACATACTTGTATTAATGTCAACTACACAAATGGTTCGAGACTAACCATCCTCCCAATTGAGCATACATAATATGTGCTAATCTTGACGGTTTATCAATGCCCATTTGATAACCTATGATTAGGAATATTTTGGGATACTACAGTTAGAGATTAAAGGTCTCATGAATCTAATCTTCTTTAGATTACTTTATCTCTTATTTAGCATACCCTGGACATTAGTTTCTTTACACGATGTAAAAGATAACAAATTAAGTTTTCCCTTTATATAACATATATGAAATGTATTCTAAGGAGATCACATCAAATGTATTGGCTCTTAGGGCACATTTCTAAAAATTCGTAGCACCCAAGTCGATAATCCATGCAATTCAGGCAGAGTCTTTGGCGACCGGTCGTTTGTTCGGGCGAACGGTCGTTTGCTTCGGGCGACCGGTCGTTTTGAGTTTGCAACAAGAGGGAGAATTGTAGGGATTCCTGACATCTCAGCGTAAGT